CTGAGTGAGGTAACCCAGACTCAGAAAGACAAACATGGTATGTACTCACTCATAAGTGGATACTAGATGTAAAGCAAAGGATAACCATACTGCAACTCACAACTCCATGGAGGCTACCTAGTAAAGAGGACCCTAAAAAAGACAGAGGGATCGCCCACAGACAGAGAAATGGATGAGATCTACATGAGCAAACTGGGGGTGGGGTAATGAAGGGCAAGGGTGGGGGAAAGAGAGCTTAGGGGAGCAGGAGGTCCTAGCTGGATCAGGAACAGAGTGGGAGAACAAGGAAAGAGATACCATGATGAATGAAGACCCCATGGGAATAGGAAGAAGCAGAATGCTAGAGAGGAATCCACTTATATACTGAAGAAAAATAATACAGGAACACTATTCAGGAGCAAACACAGTTTTTTGTTCTGTTTTGTTTGTTTGTTTGTTTTTTGGATTTGGTTTTCAAAACAGGTTTTCTCTGTATAACTGTTCTGGCTGTCCTAGAACTGGATTTGTAGACCAAGCTGGCCTTAAACTCACAGAGATCTGCCAGCCTCTGCCTCCCAAGTGTTGGGATTAAAGATGTGTGCCACCACTGCCTGGCATAAGCAGTCCTTTGTGTGGGATGATATAGATAGAACTAAGAGCATTTGTGCATGTGTATGCTAAGCGAGTGCTCCACCAGCTCTGGGGCTGGAGAGCTGGCTCGATATTGAAGAGTACTTGCTGCTCTTGTAGAAGACCTGGGTTCAGTTCTTGACACCCACATAGCAGCTCACAAGGATCCATTAACTCCAGTTCCAGGGGATCTGGCCTCCAACTGATCTGTATGTACCAGGTATGCCCAGCAAAACATTCATATAAAGTTTTTTTCATTATCTAAAAAAAGCCCAATAATGTTTAACATATAGTTTAATATATTTATCTGTTATTAAAGGCCCAGAACAACTTCAATAGCTGGGAAATCTGTTTGTCTGAGTTTAGATGCAATATTACAAACTTTTTGTTTTGTTTTTTTGAGACAGGGGTTCTCTGTGTAACAGCTCTGGCTGTCCTGGAACTCACTCTGTAGACCAGCCTGGCCTCGAACTCACAGAGATTTGCCTGCCTCTGCTTTCTGAGTGTTGGAATTTAGAGGTATGCACCATCACTGCCTGTTGAACTTTTTTGGAAACATGTTCTCCAGACTGACCTGGCATTCACAGACATCTGCCTGCTTCTACCTCCTGAGTAGTGTGGTTAAAGGCCTGGTCTAACTAACATATTATTTTTTAGATAAACTCATTTATCTGACACATTAAATTATGCAAAGAAAAATATATGCAGCTGCATGAAAAGAACCATGTTTTCATATTACGAAACACACAGCAAATATCGAAAAATAATGAATTACAGAATAGAGCACAGGACTTAATGCAAAACAAACAAATAAACAAAACAAACAAACGAACACCCCGTGCAGAAAAATATCAGGTTTCTAACGTCACTGAACAGTACTCCACATGCTTCTCTATACTCCAGCTTCTTCCAAGTCTTTTCCACTTTCTGACATTGGCTGGAGATTGGTACAAGCTACCTCTAATGCGAGCTGGCACTCTGGGGTCATCATCCTGGACTCTTCTGCAGGCCTGCTTCTAAATGGCATAATTGTCTTCAGCTGTCATTTTTTCCATCCTTTCTTCTTGCTGCTTTTTCCTTTTCCTTTAATCAATCGCTTCACCATGCCGGTCTGTCTTGATCAACCTCAGTTGAGGGTTCGCCATGGTCCTTAGAGAGCCTAACTAAACATTTCACCACTGTGTACCACATGCATACTTGGTGCCCACATGGCCAGAAGAGGGCATCGGGTCCCCTAGAACTGGAGTTACAGATGGTTGTGAGCTGACCCTGGGTTCCCTGCAAGAGCAGCCACTGTTGAGTACAGCTCCTAGAATACTGGTGGTTTTTTTTGTTTTGTTTTGTTTTGTTTTTGAGACAGGGTTTCTCTGTGTAGTTTTGGTGCCTGTCCTGGATCTCCCTCTGCAGATCAGGCTGGCCTCAAACTCACAGAGATCTGCCTGACTCTGCTTCCTGAGTGCTGGGATTAAAGGCCTGTCGCCACTGCTGCCGGCTGTTTTGTTTTTTAAATAATTATTTTTATTTTATGTGCATTGGTGTTTTGCTTGCATGTATGTCTGTGTGAGGGTGTCAGATCTTGGAATTATAGACAGTTGTGAGCTGCCCTGTGGGTGCTGGCCATTGAGCCTGAGTCCTCTGGGAGAGCAGTCAGTGCTGTTAACTGCTGAGACATCTCTCCAGCCCTCTAACACTGTTTTATGAGGAAAAAATATTGTAAACATTTCACCCTACCAAATAGAAACAATACAATGTTTTATTTATTTGTATGTTTATTTTGGTTTTTCAAGACAGGGTTTCTCTGCATGGTTCTGGCTGTCCTGGAACTCGATCAGTAGACCAGGCTGGCGTCTGCCTTCCGAGTGCTAGGATTAAAGTGCACCACCCCTGCCCAGCTAATACCATCTTTTATGTATAAGGGATATTTTAGATCCTTTGTTGAAGTACTGCAATGCTTTCAGAATGTTGTAGAAAAAAAACACATAACCTGTAGCTTAGAAAAACTTAGGGTCACTTTTTTCTTCTTTGTGATGCAAATTTTGGAGGAAAAATGTTTTTTCAATAATTGCCTGATCTTAGAGAAGAGGGTCCCAAAGTACACAGTTCTCGAACTCAAGGAGGTAACTTCACTTTGAACTCTCCTCCGGTAAACGAGCTCAAGTGCTGACCTCAAGAAAGATGGACGTTCTCTCACTTCGCTGCCCGCTTCCATGATGGCGGACCAAGGTTCCCTCAGGGCCTGGCCGGGAGCCTCTTCCGGGCTGGGTGAGGGGGCGTGGTCCATTGAGGAAAGCCCTGCGTGCCTCCGCCCGCGACCGAGGCGCGCTTCAAGGCGCAGGCGCGGGGAGGGGTTGGGGGGAGGAGGGAAAGCGGCGAGTAAGATGGAAGATGAGGAGGTCGCTGAGAGCTGGGAGGAGGCGGCAGACAGCGGGGTAAGGAGGAGCTGCTGCCCCGTGGCAGGCCGGGCGGACCTGGCGTGAGGGAAGCCTCCGGGGAGCGGGTCTGGGGATAGTTTTCCCCAAGGAAGGGTCTCCCACACCGGGCCGGAGGCAGAAGAGAGGCCCCCGGTCCCGGAGCGCCGTGAAGGCCTCTTAAAGGGACCGTGTTCCATTTCTCCCTCCACCTTTGCCGGGTGCCTCTCCGCTCCGCGATGTGCGCGTCGTTCAGGGCACCCCACCCTCTACCCCGGGCTACTGTCTCTGGTCCCCGTGCCGCAGGGACCATTTTTAAAGTTCATGTGCTCTGTCTGGTGAAGGAGGGGCTCGGGCGGCTTGCCTGGCTCGGAGGACGAGCGGGAGGAGGCCCCCAGACAGCAGGGAGCAAGCAACCATGTGTCCTCTGGGACCACTCGGCGCTGAGCCGAAATCCCCGCCGCTCTGCGCCTTCCGCCTCGGTGGGCGAACCTGGTTTTTTTTTTTTTTTTTTTTTTTCTTTTTCCTCTCAGTTTTACTCCGAGAGCCCCGAGGCCGTTGGGTTTCCTGGGGATCTCAGCAGAGCCCCCCTAAACTCAGCAAGCATCCGCCCTTTCCCGAGACCCACCCAAAGATCTGTGCAGTGGGGAGGATCTCTTGAGTACGTTCGTCTGAGTGGAGGGAAGGGAGGAAGGGTGTGATTTGTGAGATAGCTCCATGCCTGCGAGGAGAAGGGGAGATTACCGATCGGAATGATTTGGGAGTTTTTGCTTGCCTCCAAAAGTTACAGGGGGAAAAAAAAAGTATCCCAAGTAGGAACTCTCCTACTAGGTTCGTGATTAGTGTGGTAATTTCAGAGTTTGAGGTTCGACAGTAATCCTCCTGGAGACGGAAATGTCTCTCTGGTGACCATGTGTCTGCGCTTGTGCCGAGCTGGGCTTCGGTGACATCCATCTCAAAAGCTTATGTGTGGGGACACCAGGGTAGAAGAGGAGCTAGGTCTGTCTGCCCCTGGCGCTTAGGATCCGTGCAGCAGTGGGTGTATCTTCACAGGAATGTTGAAACTTGGCTTCGAAGTTTTTTTCCGCTGGTTCAGCATTTCTCGAAAGATTGGTGATGTTTTCCCACTTAACATAATCGAGCATTGGAAGGAGTGCTTGGTTCAGAGATCGTTAGTAGTTTTAAGATACCTTCCAGCTTGAATCAAGAAAGCAAGTTAAAGGTTCTTTGATTGTTTTGGTTTTGGTTTTTTCAGACAAGGTCTCTCTAAGTAGCCTTGGCTGTCCTGGAACTCACCGTGTAGACCAAGCTTTCCTTGAATTCACAAGGATCTGCCTGCTTCTGCCTCCCGGGTGCTGGAATTAAAGGCATGCGCCATCAAACCCAGCGAGTTACAGATTTTTATAGAGAGCAACAGGTGTCATTTGGGTGTTTATTCATTCCACAAATATTTTCGAGTGTGTGCTGTGTGTTAGGAAGTGTGCACAACAGTGACTTCTGCCAGAAAATGCACAATTTCCGGTAGAGGCATTTATGGACTGCCCCTGGGAGGAGTGACTCATCCAGACACCCTCATGTCACCCCTGCATAAAAATCACAAGAAAAAGAAAAGCCTTGTTTGTTTCTAATCACATTTATTCATTTATTTACTAGCTTGGAACTCAGAGATCCACCTGCTTTGGCCTCCCAAGTGCTGGGATTAAAGGCGTGTTGCATGATTATATGTATCTGTTATTTAATTCAGTTTTGAATCAAGCTGCTTGGAAGTTGGCTCTGCTTTTATAGACAGGATATTGAGGTTTGGGGATTTGACTCAAAGACTGATTTCAAAAGGGACTTCCTTTGCTACCATTTTGCCACCTTCTTACCTTGAAAAGACTTGAGTTGGGCATTATTTGTTTCTTTTTATTTTTCCTTGTTGTTGATCATATCCCCAGGCTCCATATATACCAAGCATAGACTCTAAGTTGCTCCCTTGCTCCCCTAACCTCTGGGCGCTTTGTTTGTTTGTTTGTTTGTTTGTTTTTTAGACAGGGTCTCACTGTGTAGTCCGGGTGGCCTGGAATTGACTGTGTAGACCAGGCTGGTCTGACTCACAGATCTGCCTGCCCTGCTTTGGCTTTCTGAGGGGAGTGCTGGGATCAAGTGTGTGCCACTCGCAGCCTTCTTTTTAAGACTTGTTTTTAGTTGAGAAAGCGAGAGTGTGCATGCCTGTGCTCATGAATGTGTAGGTGCATCAGGATGTCATAGGATCCCCTGGCCATTGTGAGCCACTTGATGGGAGTGCTGGGGATGAAACTCCAGTCTTCTGCAAGAGCAGCAGGTACTTCTTAACCCCTGAAGCGTCTCTCCAACCATTGGGCTTCATTTTTAATGTTTGCTTTGTTTTTGAGACACAGTGTCTTACTTAAAGTTTCAGAGGGTATTAGTATTAGTTCATGGCTATCATGTCAGGAGGCGTGATGGCAGGCAGGCATGGTGCTGGAGCTAAGAGCTTAACATCCTGATCCTTAGGCAGCAGGCAGAGAAGACGACACTGGCTCAAAGGCCATACCTCCTAGTCCTTCTCAAACAGCTCCACATACTGAGGGCCAAGCATTGAAACTTACATAGTCTCTGGTACTATTCTCATTCAAACCACCACATAAGGTTTCAATGTGTAGCTCTGGCTGGCCTGGAATTCACTGTGTAGATCTGGTTATCCTTAAACTCTTACAGATCCACCTGCCTCTGCCTCCCAAGTGCCTGGCCTCAGGTTTTATTTGAAGATTTTTTTTGTTTGTTTGCAAATGTTGCTGGCTGCAAAGGAATACTCCTGACTCAGCCTTCCAATTGCTGGGATTATAGGCATGGGCTACCACACCTGGCCTCTAAAGTCTGTCATGAATTTGATTCCTTTAAATGGGTACCTTTGAAGGAGAAGGGTGGTGGGGGAGTGAAGCATGTTCACATCACTGCATCCAGTTGACTTCTCTATGTTTTTCAAATGCAGGCAGTTGCTGGTGTAGAAATTCTTAGTTGCAGATTGCCTGGTTTCCCTACTGGTAATGAGTTTTGAATATGCCCAGCCTCAAAAAAAGAAAAAGCCAAAAACAAGCAAGCAGAACAAAACTTGGGTAGAAGCAGAGAGATTAGCAAATGGGAGTTGGCTGATTGTAAAATTGAGTGTCCAGACTCCATGGATCCAGAGGCACTGTTATCCTTGGGATCGCTGCCCTCCAACACTGCAGCATTGGATCATGCTAGAATTTCTTTCCGCTGTGTCAGGATCTGAAGTCATTTTTTTTCCTTTCTTGAGTGTCTTTAGCATACCCAGTATAGTATGGTTGTTCCACTGATGAAAGGGCCAACTTGAATCACCTCGGGTAGTTTGTAAATAGGCTGCTGCTCATCTGTGGATGCTTCCCTTCTGTACAATTGCTCCTTTGGATGTTCCTTTCAGAGAGGTTACAGCCACAATCTAAAGACAATTCAGATTGTAACATACCTTTCATCAAAGAAATGCTTCTTTAAAAATGTGCCTGGTGGGAGAGGTGAAATGTAGAACTGAGTTACTGTTGATTCAGACCTTATTGATAGGGAGTGCCCTGAGGATTATTCCCAGGGCCGTTCCTATGTTAAGCACAGGCACTACCCCTGTGGTAAACCTTCACCCCTGCTTCAAATTTTGAATGGTGTCCTTCATCTTCAGTAAATCTCAAATAACAATGAGAGGGGTTTGTAATTGGAAGACATCTTCCTGCCCCAGAAACTAGATCAGCAATTGTTTTTCAAGACAGGGTTTCTCTGTGTAGCTCTGGCTGTCCTGAAACTCACTCTGTAGACCAGGCTAGCCTCAAACTCACAGAGATCCACCTGCCTCTGCTGGAATTAAAGGCATGCATCATCATGCCCAGCCTCCTTTCTGATAGTTTGAAGCTAGTTTATATACACCAGTTGTTTAGACAAAAGGAATACATAAAGTATGGCCTAACTAATCTTGTTGGTGATGAGCCACCTCAACTAGAAAAAGGTAGATGACAGATGAAGTTAGATTGCTTATAATTTTCTCATTTTCCTATACCCCTAAAGTTTCCTTTTTTTTTTTCTTCCCCAAATTAAGCAACTAATGGGAAGAAAATATCTTTTTTTTCACATTTGTTTATTGTGGAGGGTGAGAGGGGAAACTCACATGTGGAGGTCAGAAAACAACTTGGAAGAGTTGGTTCACCTTCCACCGTGTGGGTTCCCAGGGTTGAACTCAGGATATTGTGGTGATATTGTGTCCCCCAGTATATTGTGCACCCTAATAAACTTATCTGGGGTCAGAGAACAGAATAGCCACTAAATAGACATAGAGGCCAGAAAATGGTGGCACAAACATTCTGGAGACAGCGATCCATCCAGATCTCTGTGAGTTCAAAGCCACACTGGAAATGGCCAGGCATGGTGACACACACCTTTAATTCCAGGAAGTGATGGCAGGAAGCAGAAAGGTATATAAGGCGTGAAAACCAGGAACTAGAGTCTTTTAGGCTTCTAGCAGCAGTTCAGCTGAGATCCATTCAGATGAGGACACAGAGGCTTCCAGTTTGAGGAAACAAGATCAGCTGAGGAATTGGTGAGCTGAGGTTGGCTGTGGCTTGTTCTGTTTCTCTGATCTTTCAGCGTTTACCCCAATGTCTGGCTTTTATTAAGACCCTTGAAGATTCGTACTACAGGGTATCAAGCACCTTTATCACTGTACAAGCTTGTACAAGCTTGTTTTTTAAAAAGCAGGGTCTTTATGGAACCCTTAAACTCAAGAACCTCTAGCCTCTAGGATTATAGATGTGTGCTTCCACATCAGGCTCTCCCAACCCCCTTTTTAATTAGCTGTACCAAGAATGGAACCCAGGACATCATGTGTGCTAGCAAGGGCTCTATTGCTGAGCTCATTTCCAAGCCCAAGAAAATGTCTTGTGCAAGTTAAAGGATAACTAGTAACTGTCTTCCGGATTGAGAATTCAGAGTTGTGTTTACTTTACACCTGAGTGAGCCAG